GTGTGTTGGAGGGTGACAGTGTGTGCAGGGGAGGTGTGTGGAAGGGGTGACAGTTTGTGTTTTGGTGACAGTGTGGGGGCAGTGTTTGGGAGGGGTGACTGTCTGTATTGACGACAGCGTTTTGGGGACAGACAATAGCATTTGTGGAAGGATGACAGTGTGGGGGAGCAGTGTGGAGGAAGGTGACAGTTTGGGGGCAGGGTGTGGGTGGATGACAGGGTGGAGGAAGGTGACAGTGTAGGGGGGCAGAGAGTGGTGGATGGTGACAGTGTGGAGGGGCAGGGTGTGTGACAGTGTGGGGGGGCAGTGTGTGTGTGACAGGTGGAGGACAGGTTTGTGCCAGTGGGGCCAGAGTGTGGGGAGACAGTGGGGGGGGATATATAGAGGACAAGACAGTGTGTGGGGGGCACCGTGAGTGACAGTGTGGGGGGCAAGGTATGTTGGGGTCAATTTGGGGTTCAGGGTGTGTGTCAGTGTGGGGGCAGAGTGTGTGGGAGACAGTTTGGGGGGGCAGGGTGTGTGACAGTGTGCTGGGGCAGGGTATGTGAGGTCAGTGTGGGTCAGTGCCAGAGTATGACAGTATGGGGGCTGGGTATGTGGTGGTCAGGGTGTGTGTCAGTGTGGTGGAGGCGGAGTGTGGGGGGACAGTATGGGGGCAGGGTGTGTGTCAATGTAGGGGGCAGGGTATGTGGGGGTCTGAGTCAGGGTGTTTGTCAGTGTGGGGGACTGAGTGTGTGGGAGACAGTGTGGGGGGTAGGGTGTGTGTCAGTGTGGGGGACAGAGTATGTGCGGGTCTGTGTGTGGGTCAGGGTGTGTGTCAGTGTGGCGGGGCAGAGTGTGTGGGAGACAGTGTGGGGGCAGGTTGTGTGTCAGTGTGTGGGGGGCAGAGTGTGTGGGAGACAGTGTGGGTGTCAGTGTGTATGACAGTGTGGGGGGGCAGAGTGTGTGACAGTGTGGGGGAACAGGGTGTGTGTCAGTGTGGGGGGCAGTGTGTGTGACAGTGTGGGGTACAGTGTGTGTGTCAGTGTGGGGGTCAGTGTGTGTGAGACAGTCAATGGAAGGGACAGGGTGGGTGGGAGGCTGT